ATAAAGAGGAAAGCCAGAAAACCATTCATTCTTTGCTTATTTTTTCTATTTAACCTCTTTTTGGACTTTGCTGACCAATACCAGCATCACAAAGACTCTTTCTTGGTTATTAAACTGTGTTTTAATTTTCATTATTCATTCCTAATTACTAGCATTTTTGACACCCTCAATAATCTAATTCTCCTGGTACCCAGACCCAATGTCGTATGAAAAGTCCTAGACTTGTCACTAGACTAGCAAACCATTTTTCCTCCTCCTTCAGTATATGCAATGACCTACAGTGTAAGATAAATTAAAAAATCAACAGGAAATCAAGTAAGATGTCATATCTTACCCTAGAATAACATCCAGCAACATTCTCCTAGTACACAAATAACACAAAGAAGAAGTTATGCAAACCCACATTTGGCAGGACTGGGAAGGGAGCCCACATTGCTACTGCAACAGTCATCCACACAGCAACCGTTTTGCTCAAAATAACGAAGTCAGATACATACACCTAGCCCGCCTCTTTGCACCTAGCACTTTGGTGCTACCCTTTTCAGTCCCAGGAACAAAACTTGGGATTTATGGGCAACACTTCATTGCTATCTAATACAGGTGGGAGGTAAGGACAGCAGACAAGATTGTTTGGTTCTATGGTTTTGTTTTGTTTTCCCTTCTTCCACAAAATAGTTGCACAGGTGGGCTTTTATTTTATTTTTTGGTTACTTACTGTAGAAAAGAGCTATTAATTTAAAGAGTTGTGCTGGATGGCCAATAGTCCAGAATAGAAATCATACAGATAACCCTGAATGCCACAGCCACCCCAGTACAGTATGTGGAATTTCAGTTTTCCATCTTATGTTTTACGTTGGAAAACTCCCACCAACTCACACATATAGCAGCTTTAAAATACATTTCATAGTTTAAATCTATTTTAATCTCATAAAGCACAAAAAGCAGTAAGATATGGGTGTTTAATGTTTAAGTCACTTATCAGATATGTCAATATCACTATTCTAAATAGGAACAGTGAGCACTTTTGAGCACTGGGAGAGACCCATGTGATTTTGGGTTTCCTCCGAAAAGAGCACTTGTTTTGCTTTAGCAGAGAAGAGCAAGGGGCACACTGACACCAGTTCTAGAGAGGATCAGGTGTTTATCCCCTTGGCTAAGATGAAGTGCAATCGGGTTATAAAAACTGCGTATTGGGTTACATGGAGTATCAATTTTCATGGCAAGAAATATTATCCTAATAGGTCTAGGAGAAGGAAAAAATTGTTCTGATTTTGAACAATCATTTCAACAGTCAGATCTCCAATCTTTAAACCATTTTTGACAGTGAGCTGGTATTCCCTCCACAGAATTATATTCCTAATGAATAGCTGAGATGAAATATTCCATTTTGATGATCTTTTACACCGAACGTGCATCATAAAAGTTTTGGTTACAAACAGAAATGGCACTGTTTTCAATAGTAATAGGCTTCCAAATCTTAAAAACCAAACAAACAAATCTTTATTTATAAACAGCAATGCTGAAATCATTTAGTTAGCTAAAACTAACTGCTGAGAAGTACATAAAATTCAAACCAGCCAATCTAATCTTATCAGCAAGAGCAAACAATGTTGAGGATCCCCATTAACTAATAAAGAAATATTGAATGTGTCAGTTATCATGCAAGATTTTGCGTAATGCCAAGTCTCAAAAGCTCAGGATGGTACCAAGAAATAATAGTAATTTTTTTTTTATCTTATATATATACACACAGAGAGAGCATAGCAAGAGCCATGTGTATAACAAACTATATCAAGCTTAACATATGTTATGTGTGTGATCTAAGCCTGATTCATGAAACAAGCAGCTATAGTTTCTCAAGCTTTCTTGGGGAAGGGGAGGGAGAAGCAACTCCTTCCCCTCTGCTTTTTCCATTAATTAGAGCTTCAAGAGAGTTCACCTTCCAAACAAGACATTTGAACAAAGTTCCTATAAATCAGTTTTGTCTCTAAAAAAGCCGAACGCTTCCAACTCGCAGAGGAGGTAAGCCTTTTTAAACCACAGTTTAGGCAGCTAGTGATATACTCATTTTGCTCTTTCTTCACAAAAGATTACAACTGCGAAGTGGAATACAATACATACTTTCTAAATCTAGACTGAACCTGTGACTCAAAGCTGGTGCAGCAAGAACAGAGAACAATCTTCTTCCTGAAAAAGCCCATTTGCTATCAGTACATCATCTTACAGTTGCACACAGAAACTTATGTTATGAAAGGCTACCCATCTCAGAATCTTTCTAAATATAACACTACGGTAGAAGACATCATCTGTTCTAGGAATAATGTTCTAATACAGCCCAACCTGGATGCAATCTTCAGATATTACCATAATATCAAAATTGCCACTGTCTAGCTTTTGGAAGCCAAATATACAGACTCAACTCACTTAGCTTTAAAACAGTATTAAGTCAATTGCGATTAATGTTGAAGATAACATACCTCAAAAGTAAAAAAGTAAAGGAAGCTGGATCATAACAGAAAGGGAAAAACCACCTACATTTCATCAAGACACTAACAACTTCCCTAGATGAATGTCACTATCACAACAAAGACCTACAACAGCTCTATCTTCAGTTCATTACTGGGCAAAATTAATTTGCAGAATCCTGCTAGGTTTCCAGTTACAGAGTCCAACCCATGCTCAGGGGAAGGGAGGAAGGAAGGAATCTCAACTATTAGAATACAAACTGCAGAATAATTAATTGTTCTTGAGAAGGGGAAATGATTCTGCAGAGGCATCGGAGGGAATGACTCTGGAATTCAAACAACTGTACTGAAGCACTCGGATAACAAAGTGGAAAAAATCCAACATATACACTGGTCTAATGCAATCCACAAAGATTAAAACAGTTTAGCACGATCCTTCTCTTTATTAGGACATATACAGAACCACTTCATTTTCTGCACTTTTTTCCTCCTTCTGTCCACACCAACTTATAACACATAACTAAGGGGACAACTCTGGATCTAGACTATGTAGGGATGTATTATCGCCAGCCAAGCACATACAACAAATGAAAAACCCAAGGAAAAGTACAAAACACACACACAGAGACAGACATAAAGAAAAATCCACTAGGCAGTTTACTTCATTTCTACCAAGCAATGGGAGAATATATAGTCCCAACAAACAGTGTTTTAAGGGATATATGTGAATGTAATATTAAATGCTGTAGTAGGACTAGGAGTGCCATGGTAGGAAGGAATGCCTGTGTGTGATAAGCATCTGCCCGTGCTGAAGAAGGTGGCTGTGAAAAAACACTGTATTTTTTCTGGTTGGATTCTAAACACGCCTTGGGTGTTACTAGCCTAAGATGCACACATGTTCTGTTAAAGGGAGATGCATCCACAGAAAGGAATTGAAAAAAAAGATGTAAAAAGTAAGAACCTCCAGATTTTGAATATTCTGCCTACAATATTTTTCTTCACTGTAACTACCTGCCAATGTGAAGTAACTCTCTTTAAAGACTTCAAACAGTTACATGATTTCTTATTTAAGCATATCTGCTGACTTCATATTTATGGGCAACTCTGACAAAACTTAAGAGAACAAAAACCAAAACCAAACCCACTACCACATACATACTAAAATCTAGCAGAGGCTTTTGTAATAGATAATTAAAAAAAAGCAGAAAGTTACTAACCTAACTTTGTTTACAGGCACTATAGCTATGAATGTTAAACCTGACTTACACACAGAAGAATATAAGCGAAACAATACAGACTAATCAGCTTTGTTTTTCAAAAAAAAAAAAAAAATAAAGCTAATGTGACCAGAGCATACATATGAAGAGACTGGAAGGATGAAGGATATGCAACTAATGCTCTCATAACTAACAGAAGATTAAGTTTCTTGATATTATATAATCCATCATACGGTCTTGCTTAAGAACATGCAAAACTACTGAAAAAGTCCAACCTTGTCAAACAGAACTTCAGATTTGCGAGCAAGTTTACTTATACAGGGTCCTACTCAAGCTCTTCAAGACAATGGGAGGGCTCTGTTACAGTTCAGCTGGCACTGGTCAGATTGATATTCTGCAGAATGCTTTTAAATGTCAAAACACACATACCCAATTAAATATTTGCTTTTGGTTTACATCTCTCAAGAAGAAAGTGTAAACAATTATCATGGTCTTATACTGGCTACTATGTAGCCTCTAGATGTTAGTCTTTGCTTTTTAGCATCACTCTCATTCTGATGCATTTGGAGAAGAAACAGCCACATACATTTCCATAGTATTACACCCTAAACGGTTTATGTCAGTGTGCTGTAATAATCAGAGCAATTTCTAGTCAATGTAAAGAGTTTATGCTATACTATCTTGCTTGGTATCAAACATGAGTGTTAGAATTTTAATAGAAAGTAAATAGAGTAACTTCATGTTGTTGAAATCTTGAATTTCACTCAGTGGAACGGTTTCATTTCAGTACAATTTTTATGTTTGCAGTATCTGGGCTTGCAGCACTGCAAGTAAGACATATGAACAAAGTTTTTCATTTTACTTATTAATATAATAATTAGGCTTCCCTTTTAAAAATCCACTATTTAACCTACCTACCGAAACCCCAGACTATTTTCTTATCATTGTCTAATGTATACTATATTCTGTATTTAATTTAAAAAGAATCCAAGTCTACATAGCATCACACTTAACCAGCCTAGCTTTCTAAAAAGTCTGATGTAACTGTATTAACAAACTTCTCAGTTACTCAAGCACTGCAGAACTAACATTTGAAAGGAATACAGAATTAGGTCTTTACTATCAAATCAAATCTACAAAGCTACACTCCTCCTTCCCCCAGCATTAAGTGTATGTATAGGCTTTACTTTGCCTATTACATAAAAGCAGTAACATTTACAGCTCATGAATTAGCAAAGTTCTAAAGTGATTACTACAGCAGAAAGCTGTATCAAACCAAAATTAACATGTATTCAAAGCTAATGATGTTTGCTTTTACCTGAAAATTAACATCTTCTTTCTTAAATATCAGTGCTCGAACTTCATCAGGATCTCCGTTAAATATAGCTTGAACCAGTGGTGGCTGAAATGAAGAAAAACCCCACATTTTAGAATTTAACTCCATTTTAGTTTTTAGTGATACACGTATGTTTTTTTGACACTTAACACAAACACAAGATGATGACAAAATAAAACATCTCAGGCAGTGAAATAAAGAAACCAGCAATAGTATTCAGAACTGAAGAAATTCTAAGTTTTAAAAACCTCACACACACAAACATACTCTAATTCAATGAAATATTAAAAAAAAAAAAAAAAAAAAAGGCCCAGAAGACTAGTTTATAACAGCTGAAGAAAAATCCTCATAATAAAATTAGGGCTGTTATGTGCTGCAAATTCTATACAACATAAGCAAACAAACCCCTTTTAGATTAGCAAGTGACTGAAGTTACCAGAAGTTTTTCACCTGTTTAGACAGAGTGGAAAGCAAAGTGCATCACATAAGTATGGTAACAAATTCACACTCACACACATCTATTACTAAATATAGCATGATTTCTTAGTAAGTAAGAAAAGCTGATGAGGTATGCTAGCAAGATTTAAATCAGTCACTTGACAAAATAGAACCATTTAAAGCACTAAAAGCACAGTCCCCAGTGTTGATCACTTCCAGAAAGTGGTAGCTTGAATCTAAGTTACATCAAGATTATAACTGATATTTTTTATTTTAGCTTAGAATTGCTCTTGCTTGATGTATACTATATACCCAAACAGTTCTCCAAATAAACACAGCACATTATTGCAATACAATGATTACATCAATTTCTAAAGTGGTACTGCAGAAATGTACAGTTGAGGAATGAGGAGTGGAACAGGGAAAAAAACATTTAGTTCAAACACAGTTTACCAAGACGTCTAGAAATCTTCTGCTATTATACAAGAGTTGAGATCTGTTATTGCTGCACCATAGTTACATGAAAAAGAATGAGCCCTTGCAAATATTAATTCTACAACTAAGTTTCAGCTTTTTCCCACTTTAGTATAGGCAGTTTTTACCACCTTGTTTTGTTTCAACACCATGCATATTCATGTTAATTTTAGGAAAATTACTATTGGTATTTGTGACAAGCAGGAAATATGCCAACAAACAACATGCCTTACCAGCACATTTCCAGAGGGTGATGGACGCAAAGACACATTTTCCTGAGGTAATTTGGAAATAAATGTGGGAGAATCATCTTCCACCTCCTCCAAAACAACAATACAGACTCGACTCATTCGATCCGTTTGAGGAAGCAAAAGCAAATAAAAAAATGCCAGCAACGGTATTTTGGGAACTAGACCGCAGGTGTCACAGCAGGGACCATAGAGGAAACACTTTCACCTGTTTCACATGCCCTCACAAACTTGTGAGTGCGACCACTGGGGTATCAGCATTTTTAAAAGGACATTCCAATCCCCCCTTACACTTCATGTTTCAGATTTAAACACCCCGAGATGTTTAAGACAATGTTGAAAAAAAGGTGCTCTTTTTAAAATAAAATTTCCCTAGGCATCAAAACCATGATTAAAAAATTGTGGAACAGCTGATAAAAATATCCCAAGGTCCAATTCCATTCAAATAGCACTTGCTGTCGAACACAGCTGTCCTTTCACAAGCAAACTTGTCTTTGTTAATGTCACAACTTCCACAGTGTCCTTCTACCCCCACAGTGAAATCATTGTTGCAGAAGATACGACACCCGTCCTATGGAGGACGGAACAAGGAACAATTGCCCTGAGAGAGATGGCTGCAGCTATACCCACTCCTGCAAGGTCAGTTTTAAATCAATCGTCACAGGCTTTCTGGTGACCGAAAATAAACGTGCCTTCTGATCATCCTATCATTCTACAGCTTCTTTTCTCAATGTCAAACAGTCCAGCCAGAAAAACGCATCTCGTTTCCAGCAGTTATTCTGCTTAGAGGAAAATAAGTCTTTCCCATGCAAGAAAAAGATCTGCAACGTACAGCACGGCTGCAGTGCATTTACAAGCGATGAGTCAGACCACAGGGACAATGAACTCCTTGAATAATATTGCTGGTTGAATCCAGCCTCCCCAAGTGACAGCAACACAGGCAGCGTTACTTTGTCAGGGACACAAGCAATGCAGAGCGTTCATTTCTCCTTCACCGGGCAGTAGCTGCGGCTTCTCCATCAGGGAATGCGTCAGGCAGAAACACCGCTGGGGAAGAATGCTTCAGCAAAACAAGCGAGCTACTGCACACAAAAGCTCAAATTACTGCCTTAGACTTCTGCAAAAGCAGTTCATCACTCAAGTGTTTCTTTTGATCACCATGTGAATGCAGTTCCCATGATAGTCTTCATTCAGATTGAGGGGGAGAGGCAAGAAAGGGGGAAAAAAAAAAAAAAAAATAAAAAAAAAAAATCAAACTCCGTACATCTTCTCTGAGCCAACTTCTTTATCCAAACATCTGTCACTGTGCCAACCTGATCCTCCTCTTCAGTTAAGAGCTTCTGCTTATCAGTTTCTTCCCTTGACAAATTAAATTATACCATCAGCAGATAACCTTGCAAAGCTTAAAAAAAGCCCGGCTGTCCGAGCGGGTCGGTCAAAGCCCGTCGGAGCAGAGCACAAGCCACCGCCGCGGCAGCGCTCCCCCTGAGCAGCAGTCCGGCAAGCAGCGACTGCAGCCTGCCAGGATGAAATGCCTTGTAATGCTTACATGTCACACTTACCAGAGAGCCCAGCCACTGCTCCCACTGCAACTTCCTCTGGCACAAAAAAAAAAAAGCGCGGTTTGGGTTTTTTTTTTCCCCCCTCTCCTTTTTTGGTGGTTTTTTTTTTTTTTTTTTTTGGTGTGTGTGTGTGGGGAAGGCAGTCTTTGCAGTTACGTCTGTGCCAGCTCTGTGACTAACGCAGCTGAAAACGTAAAAATCCTATAACTGAAGAAAGAGCGACTGTTTAATATTTTCCACGAAAAGCCACAAAGAAATCTGGTGTACTGACTCTGCTGACTAACAATTTAGGCAGTAAACAATTCCAGCATTTTAACTGCTTTCATATGGCACTGGTCAGCGCAGCAAAACAGTCCTTGCTTAACTCGTTGAAGACAAGATATCCCCACAAAAATACCCTGAAAGTAAAATCTCTCTTAAGGTAATCGGTTGACTATTAAAAAGCCAGCTATTAACGACCAGACCCATGTTTTTTTGCAACTAGTATTGACAAACATGCCCTCAGCTTGAAAAAAAATAAATCAAGTATAATTAAAATATATAATAATATCACATAATAATAAAAATAAAATATAAAGCCCTACAACTTACTGAATAAATATTTCAGCTTGAATCTGCCTAAACGGTGCTGGCTTGTGGGTGTATTATGTAAATGGCTTCTGTCAAAGTTGCTGGGTAAGCTTCAGTGTTACAGGAACAGAGGGAGGGGGTTTGCTCCTGCTGTGCCATATGAAGGCACTTCTCATGTCCTTCAGCGGCTGGGATACGATCAGAATTTGTCAATGGTGAACAAGTTCCTAGTTATTCAATAAAGCATTTGCACTCAGGTTTCACATATGAATCCAGGCAGAGAAAAAGACAGGTGTAAGTGGTGTATTAAATGGTTCAGATATTAATATAATACTCTTTTGAAATAATGTCTACAGTAGCTTCACTGTAACACAATAAATTGCCTAACACACACCTACTGACACTTCATGCAGGTGAAGGTTTTTCTATATGAGGAAGAGCACCCTAGCCAAGGGCTCCCTGAGCTCAGGACTGCTGGCCTGGCAGAATATAGCACGAGTTTCTGATTCACCATGAAATTTCAGATTCAAACTTCCCAAGTGTTCTCATTTGCAGCATATGACTAACAAACATCTTTGTAAGTATATTCTGTTCATTATGTAGAGTCCAGTTGTTTTGGAATTTCATACTTTTGGTCTTAATTATGAAAAAGCAATTGTTTGTACACCACACTACTTTGTTCTAGCATTTCAACCATTTAGTAAAAAGAAACAACACAGATTCACATGAATACATATGAGAACTCATGTTCTTCTTGGCCACAGCAAAACCAATTTAAATAAAAACATGGACATCCTCAAGGCCTACCTACTACAACACCCTCCTGCCTGCTAAGGAACATAGCAACCACAATTAAGAAAATACTTTGCTATTTATGAAAAATGCCCTAAGGAATAGACACTGGAGCTTACTTGTATAACTAAACATTAATTTTAAAAACAAAAAACAAAATAATCGATCGGATTTTAAGTCTACAAGAAAGTACATGGACAAAATGCATAGTTGGGTTTCATGCTATACATATACACACACTTATTTGTTAAATGACAACTTTCTAGCTAAACCCATATGTTTAATGTAAATGAACACTTTTCAAGAGTCAGTACATTTATATAATAAGCAAATGATAAGGGTTCCAATATGTGTTCTTTGGAATTACCAACTGGACATGTTGCTAGATAGAGAGATAATGCCCAATTTAGTTCAAATTATCTGGAAAATGGTCCCTTTTTGACCTTTGCAATTACAAGTACACTTTTTTAAAAAAAAAAAAATCAGCTAGGAATTCAGTAATTACCTTAAAAAAGTATAGGACTTCACATTCAGTTAATTGTGAAAATTCAGAAGAGTTAAGAATATTTGAATCTACTCTGATAATTATTCTAGAAATCTTACATATAAATTAAAATAAAATTAATATAGACTATTTCCAAACCCAAGTTAATATATCTTTCATAACATTATATATTTTTGAATGGTGACATTACTACAGTCAAAGAGATAATGCAAATATGTCTCAGTTTGCATCAGAAAGAGAACCAACAGAACTGTCAATATTATATTGATCTTGAGAGCAATCTAAACCACGTAAATAAACACACAAAAAAACCTACTCATGCTAGGCATGTGTGTGTGCACAATTACTTCCATAATCAAAGGACAACAGAAGTCTAGATACATTTAACTTTTGCTTGCAATGAACTAGCACTTAAAGGAACAATCTCCCCTCCTCCTACCCCCTTCAATTGAAAGTACTGCCTTCACCTCAGTGCAAACATCATTACTAATCATCCCCTCCAACTTCAAAAAAACATCCAAGTTATCCTCTGGTGTGCAAAATACAAGTTTCTAATGCTACCTAACAGCTATACTGAAAGCCAAAAGCTGAAGTTCACAATTATACTGAAAGAAACCTAACTAAATTTACAGTTTTTCAGCAGATGATCTGAACTACTAACTTTCCGTGCTCGAGAAGAAATAACAGTAACAGAAAATGAAAGCAGAGTACATTCAAGAGGATTAATTTAAGCCTCCTCTTCCCAAACTAATTTAGGAATCATAAAAGGTCTTTGCAAAGGTATGAAGAAAGAACATTGCATCTCCAAAAAACCTTTTCAGTTTATTTTAATAAAACTGAAAACAACAGACAGCAGATCATCAGCATCCATCTTCTCCAAATGTCACATATTTCCAATAAGAAAGCTTATTAAGCCAGTAGTAGGAAAGAAGAGTCAAAAATAGCCTAACAAAAAAAATAATGTCACATCTACTGGGGCTCGAGGGGTGATCTGTCTGCTAACAATTAGATATTGTGGAGGCCATCAAAGTAAGGTCTCCATACTTAACTCTAAATTTCAAGGAGCACAATGAAGAAAGAATAAAAAGAATTTTCAAGCGGACAATAGTGAAGATATGGATTTTTTGTTTGTGTGTGTGGACATGATAGCTTTTTGCAAATAAAAAGTGTTGTAATTTTCAAACTACACTTGCCTTTAAGTAAATCAAGTTCCGAGAGTCTTTCATGGCTGCATACAAAGAGACTGTATTACAAGAATGTGACCAGCAGGTTAAAACATGGATGACAGCAGCCATATCTACACCAGACAGATAAAACATGAACTCTGAATCAGCTAAAAATAGCAACCTTTTCTACAGATCTACCTTCATCTCTAGGAACTGATGAGCAGACTGTAGCAGCACTGCTGATGACAACAAAATCCTCACCGAAGCACATTCAGTATCAATGAACCTACCAACATACAGATTTCTCTCTTGCCAATCTGCCTTTACCAAGTATTTTTGGAGCTGAGATTAATCCGACTGGTTTAATATTTTGTACAATTAAGGATCTAGGAAAGGAAGGAAATTGTTCTGTCAGGTTCCAGTAAAAATTAAAACAAAAATTAGAACCAAGTAAGTCTTATGAATTATTTTTTAACCAATCTGTATCAGCTCTGCAAGGAAAGAGCCTACTCTATGGATTTTTTCAGAAGACAAAGATTGCTTATAATAGCTACAGCTGTAAGTACATAGGCATGTCCCAGTATAAGCAGATTTTTATATAATTTAGCTAGAATATTTACTAAAGTGTTGCCCACATATAGACAGATATGAGTGTTCAGCATCACCATGAATATAAGCTACAATACTTCTAGAAGCCTTGTGAGTCACTCATCTGAACTCCTCTGCTGTTTCCTCCCCACTCCTGAGGGAATGAGGTGGAGTCAGGAAACAGAACAGTCTAAAGCAACAAGAAATTACTACCTTTCTTCCCAATTTTGCTCTGTTTATTCCAGAGAATATGCACAGCTGGGATGCAGGGGAAAAAAAAAAAAAAAAAAAAAAAAAAAAAAGGAGTAGTTTTAACCTCCAGACTCCACATTTCTACTTCCAAAGTCAAGCAAAATAGCTTTGCTTGCACCTCCCAGAAACCATATGCAGTTATTACTTCTTTTTCTCATGTAAGTATATACCCTCTATTAATCTACAGAACTATTTTATGTAATCATGTATTTTCTTTGAATTAAGATATTGCAATTAATAAAATACAGGAACTGAATAGTCATCTCAACAACTGAGACACAAATATGACAAAGAAGAAAAATAATCCAGTATTCATTCTACTTTTACTGGAGCAGCATAAGAAAAAATAATAATGCAAAATGTCCGTTTGTGATCAAAATGTAAACTTCATTTGTATACTTAATCAAACTGTAACTTTTTAAATATACTTCAGAAATTTAAGATATTTTATTGCTATTTGATAAGATTATAAGTGTTAAAAGTCTACTAAGCAATTTTCTGTTTAAGACTTCTGGCACATTTGATACATCTGAACAATACAATGGAAGAGAAACTCTTGGCTGAAGCACCTTACAACCACCATAGTAAATCAATATCTTTTAAAAAAATTTCTCTCTCATATCCAAAGTACGGAATCTAGCAATCAAATAAAAAATGAGAACCAAGCACAGACTTTCCTAAAATCCAGAAAAGCAAATGTAAGTCCTGTTTCTCTTTAAAGATAGTGGAAATCTGAGGGAACAGCATCTTCCCTCACAGTTTTCTAGCTAGGATATCAGCCATGACATTTCCCTTTTTATTGAGGGCAGACTTAGGAGTTTTCTTTTTGTGCTCTTTTAGTGTACAACCTTGTAAACAAAATCAGCAATCCATTCTTACATTAATAGTACATAAAAGAGAGTCCTCTGGTCTGTCTGACTACAGATTCTCAAGGCACTTTATAAAATAATAAAAAAAGTGCATGTGCCCTGGCTGGGGGCTCCTATTGATTCATCAGCTGCATTTAACAGCAGCCACCTCCCTGCCTTTCCACCGAAACGGAAGGCAGCTATTACACTACACCCAACAGCTTTCCTAAGGAACAATCATACAGGTCTGACAGTAGAATTATCAGTCATATAAAATTAACTAGAAGCCAAAGCAA